TCAGGAAAGAGCACGCGAACCTCCATCAGGATTGATTTTCTTTTTGCTCGGGGCAGCTGAGGCCCGAGTCTTGAGCTGTCCGCTAGATCGGTGCTGATGACAATGGGAAAAACGAGAAAAAACGTCAACCTTGGTGACTTACGAGATAGCAATGGGCGACCTGACGCGCCTGGGAAACAGGCAGCAGAGGAAGACGACGTTCTCGGCTGTTTGTGGTTTGACCGCTCCCCAATCACATAACACGCTGCAAAAATTTCCTATCGTTTCCTCCAACGTGATCCTTGCACTAATCGGCCTTCAACGTGCAGTGGCGGTAACGCACCTGATGCCGTTTTAATCTTCTTGAACTCAAAAACCCCTATCCATCAATTGCTAGTTTCTCGATCCCTGAACCTGTCTTGACAATACCAATGACATCATGCTGCTGGAATAATGGGCGGTTCATGGACGACAGCGTGAGGCAGAGACCAGGCGCAACGAGGGCGACTTGTTGCGAAAACCAGGCCCGACGGTAACTCGCAGACGCTTTGAGCGCAAAACAAGCTGGGGCGGCGACTGAACCTGTAGCGGCTTGTAGATGGTGGCGCGAGACTGTGCCGGCGGGCAGAGCGAGGCGACTCTCCACGCGGGGCGGGTCGGAAACAGAGGCGGAGTGACGCTCAATCCGGACTTGGTGCGGCAGTGACTTGGAAGCAGAGTCGAGTCGAAGCAGCCGGCGGATTGGTATGATACGAGTGGCCATGGAGACGGTTTGAACGAGGGAAGCAGAGGCCTCGACAGCGAAGGAAAACACCGGTGAGAGGTCACAGCAAGCGGCTTAGCACGGCTGAAACCGCGACTGGGCAGCGGGTCAGGGCGGCATGGCCGCGCAGTGACTTGGCCCGAGGGTGAAGCTGGCCCATTGAAGGCGCGGCGCTGCCGGTGCGAGGCACGGCGGCTTGACGCAAGATTTTCACCGGACGATTTTGACACAAAGCACGACAGCAACCTTTGGACCGCGGCGGTTGTCGCGGCCGACTTGGTGACGGCGAGTTGAAGTACCAAGGTGAAGCAGGGGCGGGTCGAGTCGCCTGGGCTCGCGGCCCCGAGCCATCTCACTCGCCTCAGCTACAGGCGTGGCCTGCGAATCCGAGTCCGACTGTAGTTAGAGTCTGATTCCGGGTCGTTGACTGTTTGTGTTGCCTTTAGTTTGACTGTATTTTGATGGATCACCCATCCGATGGTGGTGGCTCAACAGCAACCCGGATCTTCTTCGTCCGAAAAATTGCAAACTTCTCAGTCTCTCGAGAGATCCCTCCAAGAACTCAACACCACCGTGCGTAGGCCCCATGATGGGCGCCAACTGTCATGGAATTGTCAGGCCAGATGTCCTAGTGCAAGGACTTAGTCGTGAGGCCAACGCACCTATGTAGTAGCTTTAGAGGGGTTGATCGGAATTGAGAGATGCAATACAAGACAAGGATTTAGATAGCTTCGGGCCCCGGGAAACACCGTCCGGTAATAACCCTACATGCTGTTTGTGGCTAGGTCTGATTATGATCCTCATGGAGTCGCCGCATAAGCCAGCTCTCCTTATTGTGTCTAGCCCTAGAGATTATTTTCCTTGTCCCTCTTGGGGTGTCCCGCCCCTCCTTATATAAGCTGAAGGGGCGGGTTACATGTAGAGTCCAACTCGGACTTATTAAGACTTAACTATTCTGACTTCTCTTCACGGGCTTCTCTCCATGGGCTTCTTAACAACTTGGGCTTCTTAACTGCTGACTTACAATCTGGCTTACCATCTGGCTTAACTGTCCGGCTTAACTATCTGGCTTAACTGTCTGGCTTAACTGTCTGCCGGCTTACCATGCTTAACTGTCTCCGCCGGCTTACCCTGCTTAACTGTCTGCCGGCTTACCGTGCTTAAACAATCTGCTGGCTTAAACATCTTAAACATCTGCCAGCTTACCAATGAAATACCAAGTCCCAACCGGGTCATATCTCCGGCCGGGTCATACCGCGGGGTATTATCCCCGACAAGGTTCGACCAGAGTTTAATACATAAAGCTAGTCAAGGACTACATCCTTGGAACATAGTGCCTCCACTGCCCGAGCATCGTCCATCACGGCAGCGAAGTATTGCTCCGGGCGCCTATGCTCTTTTCTAGTTGGGGGAGGTACAGTGGCCATCTTGACGGGTTTGATCTTTGGCCAATGCACCATGGTCTTCAAGAACGCCATCCGAGCCCCTTCAATGCACACCAAGCGCTTCACGGTCTCGACACGGGCAGCACTGTCACACAGCTTCGCCAGCAGACCGAAATAGCTGCTCGGCAGGGGCTCGGAGGGCCACAGCCGGATACAAAGGTCCTTCATGGCTGGCTCCGCCATTTGACAAACACAACTAGAAGAAAATAATGGAAAGTACAGCTTGTGGCAAGAAAGTTTCATCAGATATTTTGAAAGGTACGAGCTGGGAGCAATATAGGTGATCAGGTTAGTATGGTATATCCCTCTTCTATTCTACTTGTTTCCCCTTTGTGATGGATGTGCCTATTCTGCTTGTTGGTATGCATAATTGCATATGCAATCAGATTCTTTGCTTCTTCCTCCTTCGCCATGTATTAGTATTATGCCCATGATCTTCAAATTTGATATATGATGCAAGTCAGAGGCCTCTCTTAAAATCGCCGTAATCATGAAATTATTATCACCTATATAATACCTGAAACTAGCACTCTTAATAATGATAAATTGTTCATTCTACCTAAAATTCTTCTAAGTATGTGAGGCTAGCTTTTCAAACATAAATGTTTGGCTCTTTTTGTGTGCATCTATATTTGTTCCATAAAGTATCATTTGAACCATTGTGCTTAAATAAACATTGAAAAGCTTAATTTTTGTCTTTCTAATGCCTTTCGTAAAGAACTGATGATCGATAGTAACAACATTACATATGATTAAGCTGTAGCACTAAGTTGTCCCTATGATTCGTATATCTGAGTGAAGTATAATGATCTATCTGATCAATCCACTTAACTGTTTTCAGGGTGGTTTGGTGTGCGAAAAACTGTTGGACTTGATAGTTAATGAGCCTGTTGTTATCATGGAAGAAGGTTTTCCTAATGCCACACAACATGGATAATCAATTAAAGAGATGCGGACATCAGAGTTGAGGTGCAAATTTGAGGATTGACTGATGATATAGTTTTTAAATTGTGCTTGCTGATAAGAACTACTCTCCATGTTTTTGGCTGGTTTATTGTGTGAATGGATTGTCGCTTGTCATGTGTTCCTGCTTATGCTTCACTGATGACCGGATCTAAAATTGTCTTTTGATTTGTCAGGACTTGTACGCATTGCACACTCGTCCGGTTTCCTTCATGTTCCTTGTTGCTTTTCCTTTGCTTAGAGTTTTACTAGTTGGCTTTGCTCTGGGTTAATCGTAGTTGTTGTCATTGTTGGTATGTGGCCTTGTAATTCATTCAGAGCGACATAAATTCAACTGATCCTGGTGAGGAGTGTGTTGTTGTGCATGATCGATCTGTTGATCGACGGCGCAGCAGAGTGTCGACACGGTCGCTCTGTTCCAGAGTGCGTGGCTATTTAGTTTTGTACTATCTGTAGCTTATTCTGCCATGCACCTTTGCATTGTTGGCTTTATGTTAGAAAAATGAACTTAACTATTGCATTTTAAAGAAAAGTAAATCACTGAAGAGTATCTATCTTGGCCTTTTTTAGCTCATAAGGTAACTTCTGAT